GAATGGAGCACTGGGTGTTATACGCAAACAATGAATCATGGAACTCTACATCAAAAACTAATGATGTAATGTATGGTGATTAACATAACATAATAAAATTTAAAAAGAAAAAATTTAAACATCAAAAAAAAAAAGAAGTTACTTAAGTTAGTATTCCTTGCAAGAAGGTATTTAAAAAAAAAAAAGCATAACTAAATAAAAAAAGAACTAAAAAATATTTGAGTCACCAATTTGTATAAAATTAAAATCAAAATTAAATTAGTCTGCAGATCATATGCTTAAGCGTATAAACTTAAAAACCAAACTAATGAAAGAATTTTGTTTCCAACAAAGCAAGTTCTGGTAACACTCCTGGGATCTGCATACATTCAGATCAAATGTTTACACCAACTGTATTATACTATGTATCAATAACAGATGTTCCAGAATATTACTTCTAGGTCACCAGAAAGAAAAGTGTTAACAAAAATTCATTACCCTGTTTAAAAATTTAAGACTATGTTTTTAAAAGATTTTTATTAAACACATCTAAAATTTTAAAATCCAGCATCAAAATGTTGCCAATCCTCTATCTGAAATCCTCACTTTCCAGGATTAGTGGGAAGGTTTTTTTACTTCTATGAATAGCCTTAAAAAGTAAATCTCTTAGGGGCACCTGGGTGGCTCAGTCAATTAACCATCTCAGGGTCCTGGGATCAGGCCCGCATCTGGGATCCCTGCTCAGTGGGTTTGCTTCTCCCTCTCCCTTTGCCTCCGCCCCTCCCCCTGCTCATGCTCACACACGTGTGCACTCTCTCTCTCAAATAAATAACATCATTTTTAAAAAAGTAAATCTTTTAAATCACCTATGAAGGTTTTTTAATTAAAGAATAAACAAGTTCTTACAATCATATAATATACAAAAGGTTAGCCTTCTGAGTTTAGATATACAAAACAATCCCTATTAAAGAATCTTATAAACTCTTTGAATATTAAAGGGATAATAATTAACAAATTTATAAATACTTACTTGATAAAATAACAAAATAATAAAAAAAAAGTTTCAAAAAGCATAAAATTAGTATAGGATTTCCATTAAGTCTTAAGATGAACTATGGAAAATGAGAAAATATTATTTTTAAAGTTTTTTTTTTTTTTTTTTGACAGAGAGAGAGAGCACAAGCACAGGGAGCGGCAGGCAGAGGCAGAGGGAGAAGCAGGCTCCCCACTCAGCAGGGAGCCCGATGTGGGACTCGATCCCAGGATCCCGGGATCATGACCTGAGCCAAAGGCAGACGCCCAACCGTCTGAGCCACCCAGGAGCCCGAGAAAATATTATTTTTAATATACTGAATCCTAACTCAATTAGCAAATAAAATAATCATGTAAATTTTGAAAAACTCAAAAAACAAAATTCATTTTAAAAATTTTTAACTAAATTTGAAATTACATGAGTGAAGTCAAACATAAGAAACGAAATATTTACTAACCTTTATTTCCTAACATCACAGCAAGATGTAAAGGAGTGTTTCCTAAAATTAAAAAAATAAATAAATTAGTATAAACACATAGGAAATTTTATTTAAAAGTGGTTTTATTTCCTTCAGAAATTTCAGTGACAGATTTTAAGCAAAAATAATGTGGCTGCAAAATGATCTTGCTAATATGGCAAATTCAAAGTCAGAGGATGCCATGGTTTCTAAACACAATGTATTCTACTCCCCACCCTTCAACGCCCACCAAATAAAGGATACCAGTTTGCTTTCGAGATATCTTCTCCCAGTTGATTTCACAGATTCCTTTGCTACTAATTTCTCTATCATATCATTCTTTGTTCATTCAGCAAACAACTCAAATACCTACTATATACTCATCTTTGGGGACAGATATCTAAAAGACCCAATCCCAGTCCTCAAGTTGTTCAGAAGTCTTCTGTTAGAGACTGATATGAAAATAAAGAATTGCTATTGTTATTTATTAGAATAGAAGAGAGTATAACATGATAATGGAACACAAAACAGAGCTCCTAATTTTGCCTGTGCAAACAGAATTAACTAATGAAGAGGGATCAGACTGAAATGAGTCTTGAAGAAAGGGTTAGAAATTTATAGGCAAACAAAGCAACACTGACTAGTATTCCATGTTAAAAACAATTCCCCCAAATTACATTAAAATGCAAGAACAGTTTATATTTAGGAAACAAACAAATGTTTATGACTAGTGGGGGTAAACAGAATAGTAAATAATGAAATTGGCAAGATGAGCAAAAGATAAATTAATGATGATTATAGGCTATGCTATGAAGTTTGGACTATAGCCTATTAGTTGATGTTATATAATGATTAATTTAATTTCAAAATGATACCCTAAGCCACACTAGTAGCCTAAAAACATCTTGATTATAAAAGAAAGCAAACCTATAATTTTTTAAAAAGTTACTGAATAAATTTATGTATACTAATTTTCAGATATTAGCATTTTTACAGAAGGCACCACATAATTTTTGCCAATAAAATGAGCTGCACACTTATCAAAAAATTATATACAGGATAAAACAAGATTTGACTACTTTTTTAAAAAACCTTATAGATGATCTACCCCAATCTCTTAACTTGACAAAACTGCCAAAATGGTTAACACACACACACAAAATCTTTTGCTCGATAAAAGCACAATGGAATATGAATTGCTGGCTGTAAATACAGCAAGATAGTATTTTGTGCATAATTTAGAAGCTTAATAAATTCATTAAACTTAAATCTTCTCTGTAAGTAATTTTACAAAACAAAAAGCCTGGACTACAATAAATTTCTTTGTCTTAACTATTAGGAACAACAACAACAAGAAGACAGATTTGGGGACACAATTCATGTTTTTCCGAAATAAGATTTCCCTTAGTGACTAGGCCATATACTCCCCAGTTTTCACACCTCATAACGAATTCTAGTTGAGATATGCAAACTTTGTTAATAATCATACATTGAACGATGTCCCCAGAAAAGAGGTTTTGCTCACAATACCACTGAAGTAAACTTCACTAGTTGCCAAGTTATTGGTATAAACTATTTTCCAAAAAGTCAAACTTCAATTCTCCAAATATTTCAGACTCTTTAGGGAGCTAGGTATCTTCTTTTATGCTGCTATCTAGTCCTACAAGTTTATATTTTTATCTTATAGAGTCAATATTCATTTAGATTTACTTAACCATTTTTGCTGCTCTTCATTCCTTCCTTCATTTCTAATCTTCCATCAGAATCATTTTCCTTCTACCCAAAACAAATCCTTCAAGATTACCTTTTGTGAAGGTTTAAATGAATTCCCTCAGGTTTTTGTGTGTAAATGTGTATTCAACTTCAATCTTGAAGAACACTGTACTGAGTATATAATTATTGATTGGCTATTATTTTTCCCCTGCACTCTATGTGGTCTTATGATCTCCTTTTTTTGCTGAGAAGCAAGCCATAGGACTTTCTACCCCTCCTTTGAAAGTAATGTGACATGTCTAGCTACATTTGTTTTGTTTTGTTTAAATTATCAGCCATTTCACTCCAATGTGGATTCCTTTTTTTATTCTGCTTGGGTTGGACTTCTTGAATCTCCGAATCAGTTCTCTCAACAATTTTGTAAAACTCTCAGCAAGTATCTCTCCAAATATTGTCTTAGCTCCATTTCCTCTCTTCTCTCCTGGGGTTCAATTAAAGTAGAACTTGTCACACTTTCTATTTTTTTTTGCATTTCTTTCCCTTTCCATTTTCATTATAGATATGTTCTTCTAACCTATTTCCAAGATCATGAATTCTGTCTTCTTCAGGGTCTAAACCTGTTAGTAAACCTATTTATTTAGTTTTGGATTTCAGCTATTATATTTTTCCATTTGAGAATTTCTATTTGGTTCATTTTCAAATACATGATTTCAATTTTTATAATTTCCAGTTCTCCACTAAAATATTCAAACTTTTCTCTTATCCCCCAAGAACAAAATAAACATTGCTATTTAAAGCCTCTAATAGTAATTACAATAAATGAAGCTCTGATGTTTTTTTTCCACCCCTGGTTCTCACTCATGTTGTTCAGTTTCCTTAGAGTGCTGGTCATCTTTAATTATATACTGGATATAGTATTTAATGAGCTCTCTATATAAAAATTTTGAAGCCTAAGAAACAAATCCTCCAGATACTTTCCTTTGCTTTCGACATATGGCTGGGGATACTAGACTTCATTAATCCAGGAACTGACAATTTTTTCTGACCCTCACAAATGACTCAAAGCTGTGCTCCAGCCTCCACCACAGCTGATTTACTTTTTGTTCACTCTTATTCCTAAGGTGTAGCTCTTTAAGTTACCAGCCCAAACAGTAGAGTGTTTAAGAGATATCCCCCACTTGGTAGGCCCTGACCTCCATCTTCTGTCCTCTTAGCTCAGTGAGGCTGTCAAAAGTGCTGCTCAGCCTCTCCACTACTTCTGTTGGCTTTGCAAAAGCTACTGGGGCAAAATAACTTAAAATGCGAGGCTCAAATCTTTGGATTTCCATCTTCTGCCAGATCTTGGCCCAGTAATTCCTTCCTACCTCATTAGATCTCCAATACCCTTAAAGTTGAATATTTTATTCTTATTTGCTTCTAACGAAGACTAGTCCTAATAATATAGTCTATCATTACTACAGGCAGAAATTCTACTTCGATTTTATTTAACTTTTCTCCATATCTGTAATACTGTGCCTTCTCTTCTTTGGTACTGTTAATGCATAAAGATGAGATAATTTTATGAGCACTAATGATCATAACTTGTATCAAAATATAATTACTCTCTTAGTGCTTTTAAATCATTCTTACCTGAAGTTCAATTTATCAGTAATGAATCTTGCCATTCATATTTTTTTATCATTAACTCTAGAATAAATTTTTAATTTCTTCCAATCTCCTTTAGATGTGTCTTGTAAAAGTCCTTTTCTTCTCTTTTAGCAGATGTCACAGTTACTATTTTTGGAATTTTTTTCCCTACTTCTTTCTCTCAATAACAAACCTCATACGTTAAGTACATGAACCAGGGAGAGCACATGACTCAAACCTAACCAGTCTGATACCCAACTAGAAAACTGTTTCAGGAAAGGGCAAAATTCCCACCTGGATCAGGTTCTTTTCTGCAATTTTTTTTCTTTTCTTTTTTTCTTTCCTTCTTTTTTACTAGAACTGGTAGGGAAGACTGTCTTTTGCTGCTGGAACTATAGCTTATCCCTCATTCTTCAAATTTTTCTCCTCTTCCTCTAGCCTTTTTCTCAAATGAATTTTTTACATCTTTCATTCAATTTTCTATATTGTCAAGACTTTATTTAACAGTATCTTCAGGATACTTATAATGACACTTCTTTTATAATGAATATTTTTCAAAGACTATCAAATGACTTTTTTTCTGCTCATCCATCCTGAAATGAAGATTTATTCAAATCTAGTATGGGAAAGGACAATCAGACCGCCCCCACTCCTCTTAAGTCATTCAAAAAATGAACAGCAGAAGCCCCTTCTAAACTCTGAAGCTAAAAGAACAAGCTGATATTTAAGCATTTTCTGTGAGACTCTATTCTAATACTCTAGATAAAACAAAGAGAATCAAATAGTTGAGAGATAGTTGCTATATGGGAATCAAAGATAAGGAAAATGGTGCAAGACATACTCTTAAAACTACAAAATGTAATTGAAAGAAATTAAGTAATATCTGAATAAATGGAAAGACATCCTGAGTTCAAGGATTAAATACTGGTAAGATGACATAATGGTCTATAATTTCAAAATGATCTCCATCAAAATCCCAACTGCTTTTTTGAAGAAACTGACAAGCTGAGCCTAAAAGTCATATAAAAATTCAAAGTACTTAGACTATCGGGGCGCCTGGGTGGCTCAGATGGTTAAGCGTCTGCCTTTGGCTCAGGTCATGATCCTGGAGTCCTGGGATCGAGTCCCGCATTGGGCTCCCTGCTCGGCGGGAGTCCGCTTCTCCTCCCTCTGACCCTCCTCCCTCTCCTGCTCTCTGTCTCTCGTTCTCTCTCTCTCAAATAAATAAATAAAATCTTTAAAAAAAAAAAAAGTACTTAGACTATCTAAAACAATCTTGAAAAAGAATATCAAAGCTGGAAGATTTACACATCCCATTTTCAAAACTTACTACAAAACCACAGTAATCAACACAGTATGTACTTGTGTAAAGACAGACCTATATATCAATGGATCAATCATATTACACATAAAAATTAATTCAAAATAAATCATGGACCTAAATATATGAGCTAAAACTATAAGACTCTTGGGGAAAAAAAATGAGAAAATCTTTGTGACCCTGGATTAGGTAATGATTTCTCAGATACACCAAAAGCACAGCACAAAAGCACAAAAGCAAAAATAAACTGGCCTTCATCAAAATTAAAATGTGCTGCAAAGAATGACATCAGAAAAATGAAAAGATAACTCAGAGGGGAAAATATTTTACAAATTATATGTTTGATAATATCCAGAATATATAAAGAACTCTTACAACAAAA